ACAGCACCCCTTTTTCCTAAGCAAGTATATAAGCTGCAAGCTAAAAAGTAAATTAACAGTTTCAGCATTTTGATAGGACCTGTTAAAATATTGGCGCATAGAATAGTAATTGTTTTGCCTTAATAAGTTGCATCAACAAATTTGAAAGACCTAGTAGAGACAGCAAAAAAAATTAAAAATCAATAGACATGAAAATAGAATCTGATATCTTACTGCTAATAAAACAGGAGCCACACACCCAGCCAATACATGAGGAAAAGTTGCATCCAATTATTCATCTACAATTGATATATTTGTTCTTGAAGTCTTTGCAAGTTATTGATTGCATGCATGCATAACTTTCATAAAAGAACCATGAGCGATGTTCTACTTGCTGAATTTTCCCATCCTGCTTCTTCCTGATGCAGTTCCTGCATCCTTTATGGTAGTGGGGGTCATGTATAGAGAAAAATTTGTGAATACCAAACAAGTATACCTTGCTCCACTGAATTGGATTTAAATCCACATGTTTTTCTGTTTGTCTTCAGTAGAGAATATAGCCTACCATCATTGCTACTGAATAGCTTCCAGTCTTGCCAAGACACCCTAAAGTCAGTGACATCTATGCAATAACATGGTTTGCAAGAAAGATAGTAACACAACAGCACCCTGAAATACTAAAATTACATGAAACAAGTGCTAGGATGACTTTCTGCAGTTATTCTAGATTTAAAATAATGACTAAAAAAGGTGAATCTCTTTTTCTGTATTATTAAGATCGACATTAATATTAAAAAAAAGATAATGAAATCACATGGTGAGAGTTAAATCACCCTTCCTATAGCCCAGCAAAATGCCACATTTGAAAATAACTATACAATATTTTAAAGCATTCCTTGAAATTATAGATTCAACATATTTCTAGTTAATCACAACTTGATAATAATCCAGTTATAAAATCTCCATAAATTTTCTAAAAGTAGTGGCCAGATATCAAATTAAGCCCAGACTGTTTCAACAACACTTAAAGAAACACTACACTGAAATGTTTATGAAACTGACTAGAAATCTTTCAAGTTTAATGTGAATGCAGCCAATCATACCTGAATCCTAAGAAAAGAGACTGTAGTTAATGGAAAGTCTTATTTAAAAAGTTAATATTCCCTCACCAGTTTGTAGGTAATGTAAAATCAGAACTTTTGATACTATCACCTAACAGATAGATATTAAAAATTGCATTACCATAGGAAATAGCAAAATATTCATATCACTTACATGTTGCAAGAAAAAAAACAATTATACAGAACTGTGGATGATGATATAAGTAGAAGTATGTGGAAGCCATACAATAAAAATGTAGTAAAGTTATCTTCTAAAAATATATTTGCATCTCTCTTTTTCACACTCTGCAAATCATCCATTTTCCTGATGCTATTTTCTGAAAAGCAGTACCTTATTAAATAGTTTTCACTACGGTTCTTAGTTGTGTTTGAACAAATATCTCCTGTCATGCATCCTCCAGCCTCCAGAAACTATCATCAGGGAAAGAGATTTCAGATTTATTACTGAACAAGCAGCAGCTAGCTCCTTGAGCTCTAAACCTAATTCTGGAAGTCCTGTATCCTCTGAAAGCAAAGTTCAAGATCCAAATATTTACACATCTACCACTTCAACCAGAATCTGAAAAGAAGCTGTAACATTTCACAGTTCCAGGGTATTCAAATGACAGAGAGTCCAGACCAAAAATATAGTACTAGACTTGGGCATAAAACTTTACTCAGGAGTACAACATTACTTGTGAAAACAAATTCTTCCTAGAAGGTGTGAAGACTGTCAGCAAATTTCCCTAAGTCTCAGTGCTGGAATGCTGTTGGCCTTTTACCTTGCTCTGTATCCTAGAATCTTTATCCATACCGAATCTCCCCAATTTTACCCTTAGAACTTTGTCTTAGAATCCAACTCTCCTGGATAATTTCCTTCTGTTTGGAAACTTCTGTTTTCACCTACTCTGGCTTCTAATCCTGCTTTCTGTTGATGATGATGATGATGATGATGATGATGATGATGATGATGATGATGATTAAAATGTATATGCTACCCGACTACTAGTGACTCTGGGATAATTTGGCTTGGCTTGACTTGACTGGGATAATTTGACTTGACCTAGCTTAATACTGATTGGGGATCTTTGGTACTCTGCATATTCAATATTGTTGAAGTAAGACATGTGCCTCCTCTTCTGCTTACTTGGGAAGAAAATATGCCTTCTTTGGAAAATATAAAGGAGGCAAATATATTTGAGCTAGTTTATCAGTTCAATAATCAGCCCCACACCAAAATGCTCCCTTGGCATCAATTTCAAGTAAAGGATCTCCAATAGTACTTCTGACTTAACTAAGCCTGTCCTAATCAAATCCTGCAATCTTTCATTATTTACTATTAAGAGGAAAAATAGAAGAGGATGAAGAACCTATAGCATTATATACACAAAAAATTGATCTTCATGGAACAGTTATCAGAAGGAAATCTTTTCTCTAGACTTATTACAGAAGTCATTTAATAAAGTATACAGAACAACAGCTTGATAAGACTGCAACATTTTTTAACAAAGTGCTTTGGACTCATGAAACAAAAATTGAACTGATGGCTGCTACCATACAAGATGCATTTGGAGAAAAAGAACAAAGCATTTGAAGAAAAGAGCAATTGGTCAACTGTTAAGCATGGGTGTGGCTCTATTATGCTTTGGGGTTGTGTGCCACCGGCATGGGAAACACTGTGTATATGAAAGGAAGAATGTATTCAATTAAATATCAACATGTTCTAGAAAGTAATATCCCAACAGTCAGTGAAAGAAATTGAAGCTGAAAAAATGGCTGGACATTTCAGCAAGACCACAATTCAAAACATCCCTCCAAATCAAACATGAAGTAATTACAAGAAAGAAATATAAAGATTTTAGAAATGCCTTCTAAATTCCTCAGGCTTATCACTGAAAATCTGTGAGGTGGTTTCGAACATCAGTGTATACAAGGAGACCTAAAATATTTTTGAGCTAGAAGAGTTCTGCAAGGAAGAGTGGGAAAAAATCCAAAATAATGAAAAATTCTTAGCTGGTTAGGGGAAACATTTGGAAGCTGTTATTTCTGCCCAAAGGCAATGTTACAGAATATTTACTAGAAGGGTGTCCAAACTTTTCATTGTGGGTTTTTTTTAAAAAAAAATTGATTTGTAAACAACTGCACATAAATAAGTATGCATCCAAATGTTCAGGAAGACATATTGAACTTTATACTGAGTCAGTTTCTGTTCACGTAGGGATTCATGAAACACACAATTTGACCAGAGATCCATATACTTCCCATTATATTTTACTGTAGCTTTGTGACAAGTGTACATGTTGTTATGTCTTCTGAACTTCTTCCTTGTGCAAAGTATTTACTATATTTCATATACACACATACATAGAGTATATGGGGGTTTGGAAGCAAAATAATCCTCTTTGTGAAGTCTATTTCTCCCAAAATTGGTCAATGGACACTTGTATAATTGGAACACACACTGAGTTAAAAAGAAACATTAAAAAGAGGCAGTTTGCAAATACTTTGGTTGTATTTTATAAAATGAAGGAGATCTACAGAAATGGTCAATCACTATAACATTAGTAACATGCTGGGTGCAATTACTCCACAGAACAAAGATAATTCAATAGTTAACTTATTTATTCTAGATTCTTATGAGGTGCCAAGAACTTTTTAATTCTGTTCTAACAAACTCACCAATTAACCCAGAAGCACAAACTGAATGGTTGGAAAAAATATTTAAGTGATTAGAATCATGTGGATGAATTTGTTGTTGTTGTTTTTTCTGTATATATACACTCTATTGTGACATGCCCTAATTATTCAGTCTGTTTCTAAGTTAAGGGGCACCCCTTCTATTTCTCTGGTAACACTGAATGGTTACAGTTTGAGTCATTTCATTGCTAGCAATTTAGTAAACAATAAACATGTTTCCTTGTTTCTTTTTTACTAACTACCAAAGCCTGTGGGCTTAAAAGCTAGGTGAAACATACTTGGGGTTTGTTTCTTTGAATTGTTTTAGTCAAAACATCAAGTGTCATCTATTCTGTGCTATTCAATCAGTAATATGTACATTTCACTTGGGAACAAATGCAAAAAAGAACTGGCCAAAACAGATAACTATGACTTTCATGTTTCAGACAGAAACTGCTTTTTTTCGTCTTTTTAATCCTTCCCTGGCATGATAAGCAGTTTTCTGTGCTTTCTCTACTCTCTATATTTTTCATCAGGAAAAGTTCTGAAATCTAGTGTGTGATGTTCCAGAGAACAGTTGTGGAGCGCAACGTAGTATTTCTTAGTAAGTAAATGTGCTCTATTGCTTAAAGCATCCAGAAGCTAATTCTTACCCAGCCTTACATGGAAAGTCTGCATCGAAAGAAACTCCTTTCCAAAAGGAACTTCAGCATATTACTTCTAGTTTAACTCCAATCGTCCTGTGCCTGAAGTCCGGTCTTCCTCCCCCTATCTTCCAGATGAGCAAGTGTTCCTCGCTGCCATCTCCTTCCATAAGTGGATAGGTGGGACACACACAA